GTGCTCCAATTTTTCATGAGTACAACAGCCTTTATTTCAGGTCATGTCTCTATAAATCCAAAAAAAAGTAACACTGGGAAAATTTTTTGCAAGTTTTTGATTGGTGTGTCTGAATCAATAATGGATAGAAATGAACTACAATAATCTGCAGTGTCATTCAGAGAAGGAGGACGGGGTTAGCCAGAGGAGAAACAATCATTAACACAAAAAAAGGAGCTGGATTATCCAGGAAGCTTTAATTAAGAAAGATTGCTGTTGGACTAAGCCATGTAAAAGCATTTGAAAGGTGACAACAAATTTATTCATGTAAAGCAACTTGGAGACTTGAAATGCAAAGAATTCAATTTAAAATGAAATGAAGATCAAGTGTCTCTCATAAGCAGGAAAAGAAGTATTGCAGGTGAAACTTAATTCAGTGACTATATAAGAAAAGTGAAACCCTGCCAGAAAATCATGCAAGGGATGGAGAGAAGTATTAAAATGACATTAGCCACCATAAGTAATTTTGAAGTCCATTCACAGCAAATTATTAGAAAACAATTCAGAGGATACCATGACTGTTATATACTATTTACTATACTGAAAAATGCTGTTATCATTTAATAAGGAAAGTACAGCAGAAGTTCAGTGAAAATAATTTGGAGATACCCAAAGAGTTAAATTTTCAGCAGCTATCTTTATTTTACATCATCAACACAACTTCAAGGAAAAAGATCGGGGGTGAGAGAAGCCTGAGGCATGCTATGAAGCCAGAGCGTTTCCCAGCCCATTATGGGTTACAGGCCTTGAGAATAATGCAGGTTCTAGTAAAGCCTTGTTTTTGAGTGTCTATGAAGTCCTTTGGCTGGGAGTCTAAGGGGGAAGAAAGATGACACAAGAAGCATAGATGGCCTTCCTCCTTTTCTCTGCTGCTAGAATGGGTTGCACTGAGCAGCTATACCATTATAGAATTAATAAAACAACATTCATTCAGTCTAAAATCCACATATCTGAATCTGTCCTCATTGGCCCCTTCTATTTACAATGTACATTACGTACAAACAGATGGCTTCAGTCAGGGACAAAATTACGATGAGCAGGCTGTATAAAAAAACCAAACCAAACAAACCCCTAGGTGTTACTTTGCATACATTTGCAAAGAAATAAAATATGTTGGAAATTCGTATTTTATATGAAAATTACTCTTAATTTCATCAAGCTTCACAAACCTGCCATTACAGTCTGATAGTTAAACCTTTTTGCAAAGATGGTGAAAAGCCTAAATTCACCAGTTTCCATTTTCTCAGATGACTCTGAGAATTCTATAGTTACATTGGCTTGCCACTAAAAAGTCAGCATTTACTAACACCACTCTCTCAACTGCTGGTTATAGAGCAAATCTTGATAAATGCTGACCACAGTCCAGATTCTCTGTCATACGGCACAAAGGGAGCAGAAACTTCCTGCATCTTCCTAGAAAACAGAGAGATGATAAAGTCAACAGCCAGTGTTCCCTCTAATTTTGTATGTCCATGTGTGCAATGAATTTTATGTGCATCAATATGGAGGTGATGTGTCACACATCACCTCCATACTAGTGCACATAACAAAATTCATTCTGCACATGGACAATCTGGGGGGTGAGGCTAAGGGATTCAGAATGTGTGTGTGTGTGGGATGGGGACTCAGGATTGAAGGGATGAGGGCTCTTGTTGGGGGTGCAGGCTCTGGGGTGAGCTGAGGATGCAGAAGGTGGCTCCAGGCTGAGGCCAAGGAATTTGGAGTGTGGGAGTGGGGTCTGGCTAGGAATTAGAGTACAGGAGGTGGTTCATGGTTCAGGTGTGGGGGTCTAAGAGGGAGCTAGGGAGGTGGAGAAGGCTCAGGGATTGGGGTGAGGGGCACTTATCTAAGGCAGCTCCCATTTGGTGTGTGTGGGGGGGAAGGAACCGATGGTTCCACGTGGGCAGGGCTCACCATCAGTCACTGCTCTCCATAAGAACATAAGAACGGCCGTACTGGGTCAGACCAAAGGTCCATCTAGCCCAGTATCCTGTCTATCGACAGTGGCCAGCGCCAGGTGCCCCAGAGAGGGTGGACCGAAGACAATGATCAAGCGATTTGTCTCCTGCCATCCCTCTCCAGCCTCTGACAAACAGAGGCCAAGGACACCATTTTATCCCCTGGCTAATAGCCTTTTATGGACCTAACCTCCATGAATTTATCCAGCTTCTCTTTAAACTCTATTATACTCCTAGCCTTCACAGCCTCCTCTGGCAAGGAGGTCACAATTCCCAGCCAACAGAAGTTGTGGGGACAGAACTTCCCTACCCTCTCAGGGTATTTCTATACTACAAAGTTAATTCGAACTAACAGATGTTAGTTCGAATTAACTTTGATAGGCGCTACACATACAAACCGCTAGTTCAAACTTAATTCGAACTAGCAGAGAGCTTAATTCGAACTAGGTAAACCTCATTCTACGAGGACTAACGCCTAGTTCAAATTAAGTAGTTCGAATTAAGGGCTGTGTAGCCACTTAATTCGAACTAGTGGGAGGCTAGCCCTCCCCA